TGGCAGATTCACCTAGAGAGATCATAGAAGTTCATAATGGTGTCTTCCATTGGGGGAGGCCCTTTCCATGTCTGTGGGCTGAGCTGTGGCCTTGGCAGACGTGAACACCATTATCTGTAAGCCTCTTCCATAGAGTCGAATAAAACGAGAGGAGTCGGGGCACGGCTGTGAATGTTTCACCTCTCTATACCCCCATCTCCTTTTTCCCTCGGCCCCCCCATTGCCTCCCATCACTCAGTTTTGAATTATCTGCCATCTCTTTCAGTTTTGTGTGTCTGTCTCTTTGTGTGAGTCTGTTGTTGGCCCTCTCTGTGGAAAGGAGGAATGTGTGCTCTGCAGTTCCTCCTTTAGTGAGATGTGGGGCGAGTGCAGACAGGTTTGGGGTATAGCATGTGAATCAGCTTCTGCACACGGGTCAGATTAGACCATCGTACCAGAAAAGACTCGCTCTGTCTCTTCCACCCCACTGATCTCCTTCCTCTGACATCTCTGTTTAAGTTCTCCTTGTTATAGGATACTCTTTATTCAATCAGATTTTTTTATTTAGGACCCTTGCACCCGTTGCCAGCGCAGTCCGTATTGGTGTCGGTTATCAAATTTAAGAGCTTTCTACTGTTTTTCTTTCATTCATCTGTGCAGTGTTGTGAGGCAAAGAGGCCGTCCCCCTGCTCCAGTCAGCAGCACCAAGTTGTGACCTGTTCCTTCTCTGCCCTCCAGCTCTTTGATGCTTCACCGCATTGCTTTTGTCCCTGTTTACCCAATATGACAGGGATATGGGCCTTCCCCACATACTGGGTGCAAATGGGGTTTTAAGTAGTTCCTGTGGTTAAAAAAAAAAAGTGCAGGTGGACCCACCTCAGAACTCGGATCCCTTTCCCTTCCCTGAGGGGATCCAAGGCATTGTGTTTATTTAGCTTGTGTCATCCCTAGGGATCCCGCTTGCTCTGTGTTCCTGTGTTTTGAGTTTTGGATGACTTCCTAGATGAGCAGGTAAAGGTGCTGTATCTCAGTAATGTTTTTCCATCAATCAAAACCTTTAGGATTGTTTTCAAACTTTCAAACCAGGTGTCAGTCGAACATCTCCGAAATGTACACAAGTCAACCCCCCATGCCTAGCATATTGAACACTTTGTGCTTGAACTCACTGACACCAACTTCAGTTTTACTTTTTCTATTAATGCAATATCAATGTATGCAATTTTAACATTGTTACCAGAATAATCAGACTGCTATAAAGCTTAGCCGACTATTTCAGAGTCAGGAGTTCAGGTGCTTTATGGCTGTAGTTTATTCAGTGACATTTGTTGTTTAAGGCATCAAAAACTTTTTACAGTGTGGTGGTCCATGTCTAACAAAAGGAGAAATTAAGATATATTCGGTCCTGTGTCAACGTTTCAATAAAACCTTGTCAAATGGAAATTGGAATTTATTATTTTAGCTGAAAAACCCAGGGCAGAAGAAAGCAGCTTCTATACTTCTGTTACAGTCACAGTTAAAATGACTACTAATTGTTTGTTTTTTTGTTTGTTTGTTTTTGAAGGTTTCCACAAAAAAAAAAAACTTTGTAAAGTTATATTCTTTTTTTAATTTAAATTTTTTTTAGGACTAGTTAAGAAGGGATATCTCAGTCCGACATCAACATCAGTCCTGTATCAGGCAAAAAAACTATTATTAGATTATGTTGCTCTGCACCTAAAATCTTCTTTATTGGCAACGCTTTGCTTCTGTCTAAAGTTTATTCAGCCAACTGGTTAGTAAATGGGTCAGTTGTTGTCATGCCAATTGCTCTTGACTATTCTTCTCTGTTCAAGTAATATTATTTGATTAAACCTTTTCTAACATTCAACACAAAAAAAGTATCAAAACTAGATGTGATGTGCTCTTATATTGCAACTGGCCAATATCGGTATTGGTCAGTTCAAAAGTGCAATATTGGCATTGTATTGTAAATAAAAAGTTGTAGGAGGTCTTGCCTATTGTTGAAAATAGATGATAGCGTTTTATGTTAAGACAAGAAAGAAAATGTGTCTTTTCAAACAGCCAGTTGAACGTAGCAGATGGCTGATTACACAGAGTCAGGTTCTGGTCAAATTGGGGGTTTCTAGCTTTAGAAGTAGAGTTTTCCTTTCCACTGTTGCTACATGCATGCTCAGTATTGGGGATTGGCCGTCCACTGTTACAGAGTTTGCATCCACAGGGAGTAAATGCCACAAGCCAGTCAATCTGCAGGGTTTCTCTTAGATGGACATTTTTTTAACCAATGTTTGGATTAAATTCACTTTTTTTTTTAAAGACTAGTTGGGTCTGAATAAACTGAATTTAAGAAAAGAGTCGAGACTGGTTTGAAATATTACTTAGCTGTTGCTTGGATTCCTTTTATCTAAAAGCTACATTATTTTTTTTCGTCTTCCCAAGTGGAAGCAGGAGCTGCCTTTGGATGCAGCTACTGTTGCCTCAACAGAGACTTGGCTCTGCGATTAAGGATATGCTCATGGTGTCTGTCTCCACCGAGCAGGAGGCCTCATGGTGGCGGATGTCACAGGAAAAGCCAAACAGATAAGAACCAGGAATGATGCCCCTTTGTTTCCTCGTAGCGGCAGATCAATGGGCCAGATAAGGCAGCTGTGTGTGTTTACACAAGGGCATTCATGGCCCAACGGATGTACGAGCTGAGATGAGAATGAAAATAAGAGAGAGAAAGCGAGGCGAATTCAGAATCATATCTGGTGTCTCATTGCACCTTGTGCCAATATGCCTATGCTTTGCTTTGCATTGTTATAGCACTGTTGTTATTATTGTAATTATATATCATTATTCCGGTAGAGGAAGAGAGATAGTTTCCAATGCTGACATAGGGGCAGTGCAAGGGGCTTGTTGCAACCTGTGAGATGGAGAAATGCCAACCTGTGTGATGTGGGTTGATGTGCCTGACTAAGCACGCTCATATTTAAACCTGAGCTTTAAATGCAAAGAGCATACATCCTGAGGTCTAATCCCAAACCCTGAAATCAAATTCCCAGATTCTTAGTCATTGATGAAAGGTCTTATTTTATATATATGTTGGCATGCATCTCTACTTTGAGCAGCTTTTTGCTATTCCTGTTTAAAGATCAGAATAAATCCGATTTTTTAACAATTAGATATTTTGTAAAGCTTTTGTTAACCCTCCTAAACGAAGCTGTCGTAGTTTTTGTTTTGTTGTTTTTTTTATTTTGGAAAATAGGACGCCACTCCGTAAAAGAGCTGTGATGATGAAATGATCTTTTATTATTCGAAACCATGAAAAAAGGTTGTGGAGTAGACATTTTAACAGCTTTACCTTCTTATTGTTAGCACACTTAGCATTGCTAGCAAACCTGTTGCCTGTAAGGCTGCGGCCTGAGGACCATTTATGCCCCTTTGAGATGATTTACTATTTCAAAATTAGAAGTAGTATAAATTAGCTTTGCCAACTTGGTCTGAAAGAAAAAAGTGAGTAAAAAAAGTTCTTGCATCAGTAAAAATTAAAGGTTGAAATTTTTTTTAATTGACAGTAAATATGACGAGAAACATCCTTCAACTTTTCCTGGAAACAAGACTCAAGAGTCTAAATTTATTAAATAAACATAAATATAAACCAATTATTTTGGACCCAAAGTTCTGTTTTGGACCCCTTTGCAAAAGATTTGGACCCTCCCACCCACCTGCTATAAGGGCTCTGCTCTCAGATAGGTAGTACACTGTGTTCAACTACAAAAGACATTGAATGCTCAACAGCAATAAAAAATAGGACTCCCTTTGTAGTCCCTTCAACCTTCCTGTTATCAGCTGAAAGTCTTGCTCTCTCTGTCTGTCTCAGCGTCATTGCTCCACAGACCTCTGGACAACATATTGTTTCTCCTTATGGCTCCTTATTTTTGGCATGTGGAACAAAACTAGGGTCTTTCTTATACCAACATTCAGTAAATGTAAACGTGAAGATTTACTGAAGAACTCATTCTGGGTATTGAGACTGTCTTCAGTTATGCAATTCCTATTACATAAAAGATGCATATTTTCCTTGGCTGTCGGGGAAATGCTTACAAAAGATTGTGGGTTAACAGTAAAAAAAAAGAAAGTCTTGCAAAATTTGGTTTAACTGATACCATATCTTAACAGTTTTGTTTTTAATCTGACCGGCTGGTCACAGGATAAAATAGATCATACTGATTGGCAGATTTTAGTTACCAACCCATTTATTGGCGCTTCTCTCATCTTTTGGGTTGAAAAAAAAAAAAGGCGGGTTTGTGATTGAAACAGTAAGAAGTGGGGTGACCCGGGCCACCAGACACCCGCTGGTTCATCCTCTTTCTCTGCTCTTCCTTGACCCCCGACCTCAGAGTGAGAAGGGGGCGTGAGCCAGGAGCTGGAAGAGTTTATTATTTCCTGCCTCTTCTCTGCTCCTCCTCCCCGCCAATATAGAGACCACAACTAAATCGGGGTGCAGCAGTAAGGGGTTTTATCCCCAAATCACTGGATGAACCCAGCTAAGCCAGAGTTTTAACATCTGGACTCATTAATATATTTCAACTGTGCAGGCTGGATAAAAAGTTGGACATGTTGGCCCTGATGTCTACAAGAATTTATAGTTTACAGTTCTAAGGCTATTTTAAGTCCTTCAAGGACAATATAGGCATGTTTATGATGAAATATGGACTTTGGCACTATGGAGTAATCATACTTTAGAGAAAATATTGGTTGTTTTCTTCCAAACATAAAGAAAGAGACTTGCATTCACTCCAATGCTACCTCTCCTCTGCCTTTTCATGACATCACTCCTGGCCGTCCAGGCTGTTTTTAAGGAAGGTTTAACAGAAGAAGCTCGAAGCTCGTTGCCAAAAAACCTTTCCTTATTTAGTGAAACTATGTATATTAGGTGCTAAACAAGCCTTTTTGTCTCAAGTATGAGCAGAAATGATCGCATGCTGCCTATCTTCACCATTTGCTGATCAAGCAAAGCTTAATTCTTGTTTACTGGGCAGGTGCAGTGCGGTCAAACAGGTGCATCCTGGAAGAGACGGGATAACAGTCTCCTATGCAGTGTGGTGATGACCAGTGCAGGTAGTGGCTGCTCAGAGAGCGGTATTAATCAGGATTACTTGGACATGCATGACTCAAGAAAAATACCAGTTTGGACATAATCTTGATGAAGAAATCACATTTAGTTAAAAGCTCAAAAAATAAGTTTGCATGATAAAGACACTTTATCACAAATAAGAACAAATAATTTTTAGTATGTTGCATTTGCTGCACGCAGAAAGAAAAGTGCAGGAAGTATAAATGTTGGATAACTGGTTTTCCTCAGCCCCTCTATCGTACGCCTGCCAACTTATTACAGTATATTTTGTTGCAAATGCATGTTGGCTGAGTTCTGTTAGTCGTAGGGAGCTGAAAATGAGCTCCTACTTTCTTTGCTGCAGACTTGAGAGGAGGCTAAGCAAACTGACCTATTTGATTGTCAGGTATTTAAAAGAGCTTCTTAACTGGAAGAATAAGGGTTAGAAACCTGTTCACCTTCTGCCATCCCACCCAAGCGCCTTGCTTTTTTTCACTTGACCCGCCCTTCAGCCTCAGTTGGCCCTTCCGTTAATGTCTGCGGGCCACCGAAGCACGAGTGTGAATATCTCAGCTGGACGGCCATTGTCTGTGCAGCCTCGGGCTCCAGGGCTGGTTAGCAACCAGGAACATGGGATCAAAGCTGCCTCTGGATTACTTTCAGAAGGAGGAACTGCATTGACATGGGGGGGGGGGGGAATTTTGAAAAGATGGAGGGAGGCTCCTAATTTTGAGTCCTCCTCTCCTCCATCACCTTTAGATTTTCTCTTGCATCGATGAGTCAGGCTGTGATGAACCTATGAAAAAGAAACGCAATGTCATAGTGGGGGGATATTGGAAGTGAGGTGACTTTTTTTTTTTGTATTCATTGTCCACTAGTAGGAGATCCCAGTAGGCCTCTGTAAGGGCGCTATAATAAAGATGATGAGAGGAGGAGAGCAGGCATTGTAGTGCAGGATCAATTAAAAAAAAAAAATTCATCATAGTCCAGCTGTAATAAACATCTTAATTTTTTTAAATATTTTTTTTGTATTTTTGGTGCGTTTGTAGACGCTGTGATGCTCATCAGTTTCCCTGTGTTCTCTGTGTGTGTTTTAGGTTTTCTGAGCGGGCGAGAGCAAGCGCTCCAGGCAACACGGCCTGCTGGCTGGGGTGAAAGGCCGCCATGGACAGTGGCCTCAGGGTCTTCCTTTCCACTCTGCTGTGTCTCAGCCAGTCCTTGATTATCAGCTGCTCATGTAAGTTCCTCACCAGCAAACACCCTTTTCAGTAAATGCACCACTTCATGCTTTTGGATTAAATTTCAGACTGGTGCTCAGCAGGACAATGAAAATTAAAACTGAGAACTGTTTTGCACGAATCAGAAATGAAGTATGTAGAAATAGAAAATAAGAACAGCAGAAATAATGGATTAATGCCTCTTGGGTTTTTGCCAGACTTTCAAAATCTGTTTTCTAATTCAATAACTGAATGAAAATAACAATAAAAATGTTTTATTCATTAATAACGTAAGCAAGTTACTGAGCATGTTGCTTTAGTTTCTGCAAATCTAAATCCTCCAAATTCCTTCACTTTATTAAAGCCATCTAAAAATTATATTAATCAAAGAAACTGTTTTTCTAATATGAACTACGTCGGAGTAGATTAGTTTTTTATAATATCTATTCCAACCCTCATCAATAATAGTACACCGAGGACTATGAATCAAACCTCTCCCTACAATCAAAGTTTGGATTTGTTTTTTGTTTTTTTGTTTTTGTTTGCTTGAATCAAGAGTTTATAATTAAAAATGTTAACGAAATGAATGATGATGTTTTGTAGGACTCAAATTTAGTGACTGATCTCGGATTATATTATTATTTTTAAGAATTCTTTAAATTATTGAACAATACTAGATGTCAGACTTATGGGGACCGAACCCTGGTGTTTTTCCTTGGTGCCTTCTGTGTTGCATATAAATGCTCAAACTTTGAAACTAAGGCAGGAATGTTGCAAAGAACTCATGGAGAAATTAATAAAAGGTATACATTTATTCTGCTTTCTGTTTAATCCCAGCTCTGCTTCTCAAAATCCAACAACTGAATTTCAGTTCAGGATTCAGTTACTGAACAAATAGAGAGAATATTGTATTTTCAGGTGTACACTGGTAGTGTTGGGGGAAAAAAAGACAAAAAATCTAATTTGCACTTTTCTGTCAGCAGCACAATGATCAGCAGAGATGCTGTCCTCTATTAAAAACCCAAATGTCTGTTTTAGTAACATGTTATTTTTCTCCATTTTTAAGACCAACCGCATATTTAGCTCAGTCGTCACTCAGTCTAAACTTTCTACTATAGATGATCCATTCCTGACATCTGTGGATTTTTCATTCCATGATAGTACTGGTGCCTTTCATTTACTAAGAAATCAGTGCATCTCTAAACCCTATGGGTTAATAATGACCCAATCATTTTAAAGCTTATTGAACTGTTCACCTTCTCCAAATAATTTCTATGTGTGTAGGAGTCTGTGTTACTTAGTGTATCATTTTGTGTCATAATCTAATGCACTGGGCAACCATTCGTAACTCTGGACCTTTTGCCTTGTTCTCTCCCCAGCTCAGCATCCCTCTTTTCTCTCTGAGCCAACCTCTGTGGTCCAGAGTCCAGGTTCTGTGGTCCGTCTGCAGTGTTTAGTAAATCCCCCATCAGCAGCTGTTTCGTGGCACTTTCGGGGCCTGCCCCTGGATCAGGACACCCTGCCCGGCGTGGAACTCGCCCTGGGTTTCCTCACCATCCCCAGCCTTACACCCAACCATGCTGGCATCTATCAGTGTGTGGCACGCTCAGGACGCGGGCCGGCGGTCGCTAGCCACCTTGCCCGCGTGGCTTTAGCAGGTAAGGATACAGCGGATGACCCCTCTGTGCACACTTCACTTCAAAGAGTGGTGAAGAAATGGTGGAAGTGGCCTTGAGAAAAGGAAGTCCACTTTAGCGAGTGTTAAAAAAGTAGAAAGGATATCAATCCTCGGCTGCCTGCTGCTGAGTGGCAGAGGGGAAGGAAGCAGTTGGAGTTTTTACTCGGGCAGCCTTCCAGATGCCTCTTACTGCTATCCTTAATGAGCCTTGGGCTTTCCTGTGTGGAAGCGTGTTATGTTCCTGCTGGGATGCTGCTTCTCTTGGCCTCCACGTAAAGTGCTTGACCCTGATCTGAAGCTGTATCAAGCATGAATTGAACCCCTCTTTACAACAATAAACAAACCCAGCAATCCAACACAAACAGTTCAGCTCAAGTATTGCCGATCATACTCGCTCTCAGCGGCGCTCTGTATTCCTCACAGTAAGCGAATGCTTTTGTTTTTCTCTTCATGCAGAGATATCTGAATATGAAGCTGGGCAGCGGCGGTCGTTATCAGCGCAGGAAGGCAGTACGGTTGTTATTGAATGTCCTCTGCCACGCAGCACTCCTCCTGCTCGACCGAAACTGAGAGTCAGAGGCAGCTGGATCGAAGAGTCGAGAGGTTTGTTACAACAAAATAAACTTCCTCAGGAGTTATTTAGTCGGTTTCATACTGCTAAGAAAGATCCCTATGAATAACTACACAGATACATACACCTCAATCTAAAACCCTATTGGCAACCATTTTATTTATAATGCAGACATTATTTTCACATTTACATTCAATTACAATTTATGGTAAAGGTTTACAAACATCCTATAATGGTACAGTTGAAAAAAAAAACAATTAATATTCAGTTCATGAACGCTTAAATTGATTCTTATTTGGATCAGAGATCATATCAAATCCACCAAATGTATCCAACTAGAATAAGTCCTATCATTACTTTAAGCTGTAGGGTAATTCAGTCCATCATTTATTGGCACTCCGTAACAAGGTATGTATGGAAGGAAGTCCAGATGATTGCATTAAGTCATTGACTTTGCACCAGTAATGACAGCTTTCTAAGCATGCGGAAACAGTGGGAAGGAACCTTCCTATGTTAATAAGAAAATACAATCAGCAGATCATCAGTAGGAAGCAGACAGAGATGAGTCACAGAAAAAAAAAACATAAACATCAGAGAAGCAGTAGTTTATGTGGGAGAGAAAAAAAATAAAGGTACATTCAGGAAGCGATAGCACACCAGACTCCAGTCGTCTCATCAAGTGAGTCCAATCTGAACATGATGACTTGATGAAATGACACTTTGACACCCCTGTTCTAAGGAAAGAAAAGTAATGAGAATGAAATTTATGATCAGCAGATTAATTCTGGAAAAATGTCCGAGCTAAAGACAAACTCTAAGCAAGGGGTACTCTCTATGGGAAATAAACACAGGACACTGGACAAAGTTAAGGGCAGCAACAGAACTGTCAGTGATTTCATCCAGAGGAGATGCACCTTTCATTGCTTTCTAACGAAGCGCAGAATCATTCGTTTCAAAATATTAAGAGATCTTAAATTGATTTGAAAGCGTTCTGTGTAACTATACTGTGGCTGAATGAGCTGTTTTTGTTTTACAGATAACTATTTAATACTTCCATCTGGGAACCTGCAGATTATCTCGGTGTCAGCCCAACAGCAGGGCATGTATAAATGTGGCGCAGTGAACCCTGTTACTGGTGAAGCTGTTGTTCAGTCTCATGGTGTCAAACTGTTCGTGAAACGTGAGTAAAACAAATCGAGGTGCAGAGTTCTGTAATTTATTCACTCCCTGTTTCTGTCTACTAAACTGGTGCATTCCATGCCTGATTCCAGGACCCTCTTCAACCCCCCCAGTTCAGATAGTTTATCCCACCGCTCCGATGACGCTTTCGATGCAGCATTTGCAGCCGCTGACGTTGGAGTGCGTCATTTCTGGGAGTTCTGTACCAGCAGCCCGGTGGTTTAAGAACGGCAAGGAGGTGACATTTGGGCCTTCGCACCAGAGACAACACAATAACCTGGCTTTTGTTCGGCTGTCGAGGAGCGATGAGGGAAGGTACTGCTGCGGGGTTGAGACCGAGAGAGGAACTGTGTTCAGCCCTAATTACACTGTAAATGTTCTTGGTAAGGAAAAAAAAAAAAAAAAAAACTTAATTTGAAGATTTCTTACTGCAGGTGATGATTTTTAAGGTGTTATCATTTCTCAAATTCAGAGCCCGCCTCTATTGCTGAGGCCCTGGGCGACCAGCGCATCCCCATCGGCTCCTCTGCTCGCTTCACCTGCGCAGGGAGAGGAAACCCCTCCCCAAACGTCACCTGGCTGTTCAACGCCGAGCCAATCGCTCCGTCGCATCGCCTCCAAATCTCTGGATCCTCGCTGTTGGTTACAGATGTGACGCCGCAGGATGAAGGGGCGTACCAGTGTGTGCTGGACAATGGGATCGGCTCTGCACAGTCACATGGTTTTCTCAGCGTACAGTCAGGTATGAATCCTTCAACTGATCTTAAAATCAGTGTTTGAAAAACAGAAAAGATGAAAATGCATAGACCAGTGTAACCTGGCAGTTTTACCATCCCGGGTGATACAAACCTCTTCTGTCCAATGTCAGGTCTTTGCTTTTCCTCTCCATGGTTCTTACATGAATTTTGAACAAAGTTAATCTGCTTTATGTGCTTATTTAAGGCTGGGCACCTCTTGCACTTTTTTTTCTTAAAAAGCTGAATGTCTGGTACAAGATATGAACTAAAAAGTAAAAAAAAAAGGAAGCAGCTAGAGTCCAGAAAAAAATATAAATGACCTTCAGATGCCTGGAGACCAGCCTTCAAAGATTACAAGGAAGTCTGACTTATTGCAAATGAAGCATTTCAAACTCTCTATGCTCAAAGTGCATTTAAATAAAAACATAAAAATGATTTTTGACAGTAAATGTTTAATTACTTTTTAAAAGGGCCTCATCAGAAAGTCTGAAGAATGTTTATTTTAATTAGTGAATCAGAGTTTTCCATTATAAAGTGTCAGAAATCAGAAAGACCCTCATTGTTTCCCAGGAGGAATAAATGAAGATGTTATCTGATCAACAGGTTGGACTAATGGGATTAAGGGATTAATTATGGATTAATGTAGCATTAGTTTAAAATGGAGCTGCTCCTTACATGTATAAGGAAGGGCTATATGACAGCTGTTGGTTTTGTGACGACTACATTAAGAAGATTCCAGAAATGTAGCATCGCTGTAAGTTTGTTTTGGTCAAGGTTGAGGCTCTTTACCAGATGGGATCTATGTTGATCTGGACATACTGTATCTGCAGAGCGTCCCAGCTCTGTTAGTGTGACTGTGTGTGTCTGTCAGCGAGGGGGAGGGGCTAAGCCAAGGCCAGGGCCGCCCTCCTCCTGAGCCTTGAACTGAGCGTGAGAGTGAGCTTTGTGCGCACCGTCGGGGATAAGCCCCGGACGCTGGAATGTAAGGAGTAGTCGTAGAGGGTTATGACGAGGACCAGACCACCCAGCTGTCAACATCGTACACAACTGCCTCTTATTTATTAACACATCACAACCCTCCTCCTCCTCCTATCCTCTTCCTCCCCCCCGAATGCTCAGCCCTACTCCTTAACTCTCACTGCTATCTGCAGTGATTAATGCAGAGACACAAGGAGTTCAACTCAGACAGGATCAGACGGGGTCACTGCTTCGCACCACAATACTTTGGGCTCAGCTTCTGCAGACCACCTTAATACACAAAGAACTGAGGCTGATAACTAGGAGCTGTGGTAAACACACTGTGAGTGGTACCAGGTACGGAGCTTATCCAAGCCTTCATTTCAGGAGTAAACTGTTATTATAATGCTTCAAGAGAAATAATCAGAACAAATATTTTAATTCAAAGTTTTGCATGAATGTTTTCCATCACCAAAAAAAAAGACCTCCCTTCACACATAAAATGACAAATCTAGCTGCCCTTTTTCTGCCAGGACTGTTGCATGGAGTTAATCTCAGTTTTTCCTGCGTAAGCGTTCGTCAAGTATTTCTATTGCAACCAGAGGCGACGTCACACGCGTGAAAGAATAATCGCTGCAATGAAGGGTTGTACAGGATATTACGACCCCTGAGTTCACATTTTAAACATACCTTAGCATCTGATAGCGATTAGCATTATTAGTTTAACTAAAAGTATCTAACACTGCTAAATAAATAAGTACATTAAATGTTAACCATCATTTTCAGCTCCTTCGTTTTTCTTGAAAAACAGATTAAGATCATAAAAGGGATAAAATAGAACAGCTGTGCTGTTGTGAGCCTTCCTGTTATGTGCCAGAAGAGCTGCTCTCTCTCACAACGTGAATATACTTCAGATTAGAGATGGAACCATGCAAGATTTGTTTTTGGTGTATTCGATTTTTTTTAAAATCAATCTAACCAATCCCTGAAATGTCCTGAAGATATTTTGGAGCCGATTTTTACGTCTATTGCTTTTTTGTCCTCATTAACATGATAAAAATGATAAAATAGTAATAAATGTTTCACAGGTCGTAATTAAAACAAGGAAGCGTTTATTAACAAATTAAAGAAAAAACAGAAATTGGAGGAAGAGGCACTTCATGTGATCTTAAGGCATGACTGCTGAACATAGGGAAACTCATGTAGGTATCCGCTGATACAGATAGAAAGAAACACAAATAAAACTAAAGTACCGGTATATGTCTCAGTATTGATGGAGGCCGAATTGTTTAATTGCTTTTAATAATTGGAGACCAACCAATTATTGTTAAAAAAAAATATCATTATGATAAATTACTCTGTTTTTACTTCCTTAACTTTACTTTCAGTGTTAACCTCTTGTAGCATCCATAACTACTAGATAAAGTACCTGTACTCGTATTTAATGCAACTACAGCTCTGAACCTGGTTTCATATTGGCTGTTTCAGCATAGTTACATTTGCATGTTTAGGGTTCCAACAAAAGAACGTTGAATTTTTTTGTTAAAGCAATTAATGCCACGAAATATGGTTTTATTTGGTATTTATTTTGCCCATCTGTCATCTTAACATGTAGTAGAACAGTTGTCTGAATTCATTCCTTGATGTTAAATATAAAACAGGATTTAAATAGGATTTCTCTTTTCTGATTTAGTGTGAATACTGATATGCTTGGACCAAACTGGGATTTTATTCTTTCAGCTTTCACAGGGATTTTCTTCTTCGAGTGGACTGATCACACCTTTCATGCTTATAAATACCAACACTTTTGACCCTCTAATCTGCAACTTTAAGATGAGCTTTTGCCCAAAACTTGCCTGAAGGTAATGACCAGTTCATTGCTCCAGGCATCCCCAAAGTGGGTCCTGGAGGGCCGCTGTCCTGCAGGCTTTAGAGGTTTCCCTGCTTTAGCACAGCTGATTATGATGCTTGCAGTTCAGCAAAAACCGGTTAATCAACTATCAATGAAAATCAGCTTTGCTGGAGCAGGGAAACCGAGTCTAAACCCTGCATGACTGACAGCGGGCCGCGAGGAACGACTTTGGGGATGCCTGCATTACTCTATAAGACTTTGATTTAAGTATACTAAACAGAGAGGCGTCGCTGTAAAACACAATTTCCTTTAACATACATTCTTACATCTCTGACTCACCTCTGACTTCATTTTTAAACTTGTTTAAATTAAAGGATTTTTTAAACTCATTAGACTGGCTTCCACACCAAAGAGTTGTTCCTGCACCCTAGCTGTGCTTCGGTGTGTTCTGTGATTGGAAAAAGCTCATGTTTCTTTTCAGAATGGTCTGACTGTTGTCTGAGAATATCAAAACAGAAAGACATCTGACCACAGAATGGAAACAACGTCCCGAATTATAAAACAAAAAGTTACAGATCTTATTGTGAAAGAACAAAATACATTTAAACCGCAGCATAAAATGGAAACAACAAAGCTGAGCTTCGTACAAGGCCGTTTTGTTAAACAATAAGTTGACTTTAAAGCTCCTAAGGATCTAGAGAGAAACAGATGATTCCTGGGATGAAGGAGTGAAGCACAGATTTACATAACTGAGGCTCCTTGGTAGTATCTGTAATCCTCAGGGATTTATCATCACATTCACTTCCTTGTCTCCATCCTCCTTGCTGATGATGAGGAGCCTGTCTGGGCCTGACCGGCCTCTTTCTGTTGGATTGCCTTGGAGCAGCTGACCTGGTCCTGGTTTCAGCTCTGAGTGTTGCAGTAAATGAGGGAAGGAATCGGACAGAGGAGAGGCTGGATGTGGGGCTGCTGAGGTCTGATTCTTTCTGGTATTTTAATGGTCGGTGTGTGGAATGTGCTGCAGCTGGCCGCGGTCCGGGGAAAATGTCTAGTATTACCAGCTTCAGGCCTGTTTGTTTTACAAAGTAGGTCGGTGTGAGCAGCAACAGCAGCTTGTTACAGGACCCTGAGCCATGAAATGCACCCCGTGCAGAAAACCTCACTCTTCTTTGAGTTTGAACGATCAGCGCTGCCGTTGCCAGACCTCGTATCAGCTGTTTGGAGACTCCCAGTTCATGCATTTTGCCTGGTTGTGATCAGGAATTCATTCCAAAAAATAGGATTTAACTTCTGCAGAGTTTAAGGTTTATTTTTCTCCATTTGGTAGATTAAAGAGCGGGTTCCACCTGTATGACCCTCTGACATTGCTTCTCCTCAGTGAGAGCTACACCGTTAAAGGTATAGTGGAGGATTTTTATGCAATTTTTTGGAAGGACCCTTCCTCTGCACAAAATTTTTTTAATGCACAGCCCTTTACCCGCTCCTGAGAGGGAATGCCTATTAAATGCGTGCGAGAGCGTGCACATGCCCATTTATTCTCGTGCTGCTCTGTTTAAAAGTTGCTGTTTGCATCACTCATACAAGCTTACTTTCCGAAAGAAGATTTGCAATTTTTCCACTATGTCAGAGTCACCACCGGTAACCAATGCAGAACATAAAGACATATCCAATAATACATATTTAGAATCAGTTTATACCAATTTAATGTCAATTCTTTGCAGGCTCTATAAAAATGTTATGGTTCTTCTGTATATCAGATTTAATTTTCTCTGTTCTTTGAAAGGTCTCTTCTATTTAGATTTTTTATGTGAAGGTTTAATTAATCGTTTTTTACTTGTCTTTATTCTACTCACTGTTAAATGTCCAATTGTCTTAATTTTCCCTTCATCCATCCAACAAAGGAAGAAGTCCAGCAATTCTGACATTTATTAATAGAACTTTATTTTTTAATCCTCTACATGACACCTTAGTTTTACATTTTATTTACATGCGTATCTTTTTTTTTTTTTCTTTTTATGCAACTTTAAATACATGTTTTTAAATCTGCTTTTTGGATTTGTTTGTAAATAAGGTCAAGGTTCACAGATTAACATAATGCACAATGTTTTTAAAGCTAAATAAAAGTCTAAAAGTTTAAATCTCAAAAAGTATATAGTTTAGAATCCTTCCAATTGTTTTGCAGAAACAGACCCATGGAGATTCAATCAGTGGAGGGATGACAGTATCTGATCTGATCTGGTTTGTCATCGATTCTGATTTATTTCCATAAATCAGAAAAGAAAAGCAAATGTCCAGTATTTACTTTCATCACAATCAGTTGATTGCTTCTTACCTACAGTTTACTTTAACCGCTCTTTGTTTAGGTGAGATGTAAAGTGTTTTCTCCTCTAGATTAAACATTTTCAGGGTTTTACCACGTACAGTATTGTTTCTGAGTCACCAAATACTAATTTTAAAATTTTAATTAAGTTTTAAAGTTTATTTTTGGCAGAAGTGGCCTTTGCTTTAACGTGAAATGGTGGCCCTAAACTTTTAGCAAAGGAAGGAATCAAAGCTATTGTTTTGTTCTACAAAAAAAGTGAAAAACTGTTTCTGAAATGTAAGGGGATAAAATCAAAAAATGTAAAAGTATTATTTGCTAAAGTGTTATTATTTAAGGGTTTAATGTAGGGCTGCAACTAATGATTATTTGGCAAAGCTGTTGATTTGATGGTTTTTTTTTTTTTTACCTATGAATTGATTAATAATCGAATAGCAAAAGTTAACTTAAAGAAGGCTTTTTTTTTAATTGAACCAGGATAAACAGGGCTTAAACAGTTTTTTTTGTTTATCTTAAATGCAAAATGTTCACATATATATATATATCATGATGATGTTTTAGTCATGGTTTAATAAAGACCGACTAGATCGTCCTCGTTGTTGACCCTGGACATTTACACATCTGATGTTTTTTCTCCTCTAAGGTATATTTAATATTCTTTTATTTGCAGGACCAGAGCTGGGACCCACAGCAGGTGTGCTGCTTGAGGCTTCACCGTCGCTTCACCCAATTCAAAGCGACGAGGGAGACGACGGCTTCCTGGGCGAAGATGACGACCCGTTTAACCCACCAGCTGACAGGGGCAGCGGGCGCTCCACTCCAGAGGCACCGATCATCACCAGCCCGCCGCAGACCCACAAGCCGGATGTTTATGACCTGGAGTGGAGGGCTGGTCGAGATGGAGGCAGTCCCATCAGTGCTTATTTTGTTAAGTACAGAAAGGTGGGAACATATCAGCTGCAATTTTTCTCTCCTTTATATTCAAAGCTTCTTTAAAGTGTGCATGACTGGACCAGGTGAATTAATAATGCAAAGCCTGTGCGGGTAGTTGTTTCCCCCTTTAAAACACTCTATTTGCTTCAGTAATCACCTGAGTGCACTATAAAACTGCAGCAAAACCAGTAAAGACTGTACTGGCAGAAAGGCTCAGACTTGCCTAAGTTGGAAATCATGACATGAAACACAGGAATTTTTTCTGAGATCAGAAACAATTACATTAAACTGAAGTTGGAAACTTTCTCTGTCACTTACTGGCATCTGTGCCTGTGTTTCTGTTTCAGGTTGACGACATGGGGATAGTGGTGGGAAACTGGCAGACGGTCCGAGTCCCAGGCAGCGAGAAAACGCTGCGGCTGTCGGAGCTAGAGCCCTCCAGCCTCTACGAGGTCCTGATGGTGGCTCGAAGCCCAGCGGGTGAGGGTCAGCCAGCCATGCTGACGTTCCGCACAGGAAAAGGTGAGTCCAACAAAACTAAACGCTAATTTCAGTTAAAAACTCTTAACTGGAAGTGACTTACGTCAGGTAAATCAAAGTGAAAATCTATTGGCCCGGACAGCTTTAATAAAGAAGAATGAGTCATGTTTAAAAGAAAAACAACAGTTATTTACTATAAAAAGACTAGTAAATTTCCCATGATGGGAAACATTTCCATTATTTCCAAAACCATAGAAATGACCTTGTGAAAGTTTAGGACCATTAAATGAACTGTCATGGACTTCTACTTGTGCTGTTTTTGTTAATGTAGTAGTTTTCTACATTTAAGCTGCTTTTTTTCACAACTTTTTCTTGTAAATATCTAATCACCTTATTTATTAAATGGGACACCATTTAATAATGAGCATAAAAGGAATCATGTTCATTATTGTGCTTAATTACATATGAGGAACTTGCGCTACACCTCCTAACCATTGGAGGCAGTAATGAGTAGGGGTGGAACGATTCACAAAATCCACGGTTCGGTTCGATTCACGGTTTCGTGGTCACGGGTTTCGGTTCGGTTCGATTCGGTATATGTTGATTGTTACACTGAAATCCCATAAAAATTTAGGAAATTAATGAAAAAAATCCCCCAAAAAATAATGGATTGTAATTATTTTAAATGATCCGCGGAAACCCTGGATCATTTCCGTATATTTTGCTGCTTTGAATTTAATCATCATCTCCAAGGAACTCAGAGCAGAGCGGACGGGAGCCACATCAGAGGCTGTAGCTTTGCTTTGAGCTGCCGGTCTGGAGCGCAGCGGGGCGGAGCGGGGGTTGCTGACGGAGTATGAGGGATTTCGGGGTTAGCATGACATGTTGGCCATGTTGCTGGCAGCATAAACAAAACGTGTTGAACAATGCTTGCACTTTTATCCACAACTTTCTTTCCGTCGTCATCGTAGGTCACTCTAAATGCAAAGTGGTCCCATACAGCAGACCTATAAAGTGCTGCTGGCGTAAGGTGACCAGATTTCTGAAATCAAATCTGGGGACATTTCTTGCTCGTGGATAAAAATCAATACATCTTATCGAGATGAAATTAGGAAACGGGGACAGTAATGGTTTCATATATTTTTACATATTTATTAATATTTAAACAACAAAAATCAAGTGTAAAAGCCAGGAATGTGCCTTTCCAAACGTTTAGTGTATCCTAAGATTAATAACATGAATAGTGTTATTAGTAGAAAACTAGAACTGTGTCTCTTGGTTGGGGCAAAGTGGTGGGGGTGGGAGCATAGGGGTCAAGGGTCATTAGCAGGGCTTTCCAATTTTGTCGGGCCCAAAGAGCTCTGCCACCTCCTAAGGGGAGAGTGACATGAGGAAAAGAAATTTAGAAAAGTAAATACAAACATTTATTCTATGCCTGTGGCTGTCTGTTGAGACTAGGGTTGTCACGATACTAAAGTTTTCAACTCGATACAGATACTAAGGAAAATATTCGATACTCGATACCATTTTTGATACCACAAGGATAAAATTTCAACAGAAATATTTTGATTAATAATTAAAATACCATAAATAAATACAATAAACAATAAGAACAACATTTTGAGGTTGTATTCTGTGCACAGTATTTAGCAAGCTTGATAAAAAAAACCTTACAAAATTAAAATTAAGTGTTCCTTCCTTGGCTATGCTTTGCACATAACAATGACACTAGCCAAACCAGTTAAGAAACAAAAATAATTCTCAGCAGCTGCACCTGTTACAGAAAAAGTCTGAAACTGAAAAGTGCGTAGAATTATTCAATCACAGTGTTCAGAAAGTGCATTTTCCTCTATTCTGCACTTTAGATGAATGACTGCTTAGGTGCGACTGGTACTCGATACTTTTGAAAATGAGTATTGTATCCAGATACAACGTTTCAGTATCGATACTTTTTTGAGTATCGATACTTTTGACAACCCTAGTTGAGACAGAGTTCCCCCACCTCTTCAAAAAAGTGCAACAAATACTTATTCTGTTTACATCTACTGTACATACCTATAAGAAATATATTTTTTCTTCATTAACATAAAAAAAACAAGTAGTAGTCAAGCCTGCAGGTAAAGGTTCATATATGTTTCTTACTGTCGCCTAGCCACATCAGGGGCCTGTGTGTCTCAAAGTAGCAGGTTCATTTTTCCTACTACCCTGAGTATACAGCCACTCTGTGTTCCACAGCATACTTTGCACACTACATCACTCAATATGTTAGTTTATCACTCAAATCATGTCAACGCTTTATCACTTGAACTTTATTAATACATATTATACATTTTAAATGTTTGAAACAGAAATATTAACTGAACAGGGTCTGAGGCAGTGGCCCTGGTAATTTGGGTAAAATAATATAAGAGAAGACATAGCAAGTAAAAAGCAAAATAACCTTTTTAAATGTCTTAAACAAGTTTAACCATGGAACAGCAGAATAGGCTTAACATCAACACAATGTATATAATCCAAGAATAGTCCATATTTATAAACAGCAATAACATATACATATATAATTTCCCAATGGAAATTCTGATTGTAATTTCTCCGTAAAATGACACTTCCTCTTCTTTGAAAGAGCCATATGGTCATTCAGTCTTGTCTGTTTTCTTCCCTCTCCACCTTCGCTTTTGTTTCTAGCCCTCTTTTGACTTCTGCCTGCTCTCTGCTTTACTCCTCAAAGTAAATTTTTCTCCCTTCTTGTCAACCGTTTTTTCTATCAGAGTTCCTAGTTTCCTCCTCTCTCATTCAATCTCCTTTCTGTCTTTCTATCTTCTTCCTCACTCCTCCAGCATCAATCTTACATTATTCTAAAACAGAGACATTATATAATCAAAATCACCTCCAAAAAAAATTAGGATGTGCAACATGAAAACTTATTATTATTAATATCTCATCTAAATACTAAAAATGCTAATTACCACAATATTAGGAGCTACAAGCAAAAACCACATAATAAATGGACATTAAACAGGTGGTTATCTCTATCATTCTCAGATCATGTAGATCTTGTCTTATTCAGTTCTCCTGTTACTGACTCCTATTTTTTCACAAGGAACTTTCATATATATCCAAACTGAGCAGTAAAAAAGCACACAAAAAACTGGAAGTCTATGCTCATAAATCACAACCATAAATCATCAAAACAAATTGAAATAACTCTACTTATAATAACTATCTGAAATATAAACTAAAGGTCACCTATCCATTCTAAATCATCTTTATACAAACCCTTGTTGATCCCTGGAGAACCAGCGTACCAGATTAGCGCCTTACAAGGAGTTTTCAATCATTTTGCTACATTTTAACCCAGCGTCTTTTACTCATGCTCAACTCGTGGTCTTGTCTTACTTTTTATTATTGTTTTAACCTGGACACAAACCAAACATTTATCACAAGATCAGCCCGATCAGAATAAAATTAATTGATTAACACACTCACCATCACTCAGCGTAGCTCCCCATCAGTTGCCACAGGTTGTAAAAAACGAACTTCCACTTCTTCTTCTTCTTCTGTTTTAAAAGTGATGCGCTCTTCTTCTTTTTTGTGTTTTAATGGCAGCTGACATCCAAATGGATCATTACCGCCCTTCTAGTGGTGCGCTCTGTTCCTTATCTTTATGTTATCAGCAGCGCAACCAGCTACCGTAATACCTATTTTTGCGCGCAACAGCTCTACCGTAATAACAGTCTACACGCAACATTTTTCGCCTCGGTAAAATCGGGGACATTTCCGGGGACAGCTTTAGCCGGGGACAGGTGGTCCAAAACGGGGACAGTCCCCGGAAATCGGGGACGTCTGGTCACCCTATGCTGGCGCGTCTTCCAACTCCTGTTCTTTCCCCCTCGCCATACCCACACAATTCTCCACAACAACTGATTTTTTTCTCTGCTACACCCGGCTAAGCTGCTTCGCTTCTTCTTCTTCTTGTTTACAACTGGTGGTTGGCTCTGGTTGCAGTACCGCCACCTTCTGCTCTGGAGTGTAAAGGCTTGGCCTATGAGAAAAAGGAGCAGCGCATGAACCAAACGAAACACACGCGAATCGAACCGAGACAGTCGAACCGAACGGTTCGGACGGTTTTCATAAATCGTCCCATCCCTAGTAATGAGTGACTAAAGGCCAAACAACTAAAGCTCTAATTAAGGCAGTGTTGCCAACTCAGCAACTTTGTTGCTATATTTAGCGACTTTTCAGACCCCTCCAGTGACTCTTTTTCAAAAAAGCGACTAGCGACAAATCTAGCGACTTTTCCCAACCCCGTTCTCCCGCTTCCGCAGGAGTCCCTCTCAGCGCTGCAGTCAGAGCCACAGCATATTTACCGTAACAGCGTCCAAAATGAAAATGAGCCGCGCAGATGCGCCGGGATTGACTGCGCAGGTTGATCACGCTGGAGTCAGCTCCCTCAGTTGCTGAACCTTCCATATATTTTTGTGAGCAGGCAAGCACAGCCTGTGAGTGTGGAGGGAAATCTTATTAGTTTAAAAAAATAATAATTAACATTATTTGCTCACATTCGTCATTGATTCTTTGTAGTCTTTTTTTTTCCATTTAGATTGTTAATGTTGATGAAATGAACAAACTTTATGGTTCAAAATGTTCCTGTTTTACCATGCTTTTTAAGCTCCTTAGTGGACCACAAGGGAAAAAAGAAAAAGTAAAAAATAAAAGTTTTTTTTTAATGCAAATTAGGCAATGACGTCATTCAGCAACTTCTAGCGACTTATAGCACAGCCAATAGCTGCTTTCCCCAACTGAGGAGTTGGTAACACTGAATTAAGGCCCTGTCCCAGTATTTATTCAGAAAACAAGGTTGAGAGTGCACATCTAGCACATCATGGTCAGTTGTTGTTCACCAAAATTATGCTCAAGTATGAATCTCCGTTAAAAAGTAACAAAAAGATCTTTAATATGGTGGATGGGCAGAAGTCAGGACGCTGCAGAAGAGTCCACCACTCATCATTGCTAAGCACATAAGCTGAAAGGTGCTAGCCCCAGAGCAGATCCTTTTTCCAGGAAAGTTTTGGAATGAGAAATGAAAATTGCTCAGGCTCAATTCAGTCCCTGGTAATGGCTGAGAGGCCCGGCAATGAAAATAGAGATTTATTGGAATGTCTTCCAACAAACTTCTGACATTTCTAAACCTTATTCTCCATGGCTAATCACCTGAACGTCCAAAAGAGTGAAAGTAAATGCATTTCTGAAATATAGTTGGCATTATGTTGGTCTAGAACACATTGCCACTCTTTTGAATGAAGTGTTTCTTTTCCTAGGCTTTAAACATTATTTTCTTCTTTTAACACAGAAACTATTTATTTAATACAGAGAACAGAAGAATGCTCCTTATGTAAGGAAACTGCCTGAGCCTCATATATTACAGCTAACATTAAAAACATAAGTGAAAGTGAAATCTCCGCCTTCTGTACTTGATTGTTTGAACTGTCTGACCTCTTGAAGGCATTCAGAGAGCCCTGAGATGTTCTTCTCAAATTGACCAGTTAGTTCATAAATATGACAAAAAACTATGAATAAAAAGACAGTAGTAGTCTACACCTTTGATCCCAATAAACGTGAACTTTTCAGAAGAATGTAGTTTAAAGTGTTGCAGAATGATTCAGATGGGTAGGAGTTTGACATCAGCTGATGTTTCCGTTATCCAGCTTTAATTTTACATGCTTTTTTTCAGAAAAGACCACCTCTTCCAGCAACAAGAATCCTTCCAAGCCTCCCATCATCCCAGTCCCACCTAAGGTTCCAGAGGACCGACCGACAAAGACGATCTATGGAGTAGTTCAGCACGACAGGGGTAGGTGTAGAGCCGACTGCTGTCTGTCTGCCGATTCCTGTCGCTCTGCATTTTGCACAGTCTGACTGGAAGAGGGGGACTGTGGTTGAGTTTGCTAGCTGCACACATCTCAGGGCTTAATGTTTAAAAAAAAAAAGAGCTCTGCTTTGTTTCTGCACGCATGGAAGCACAAACAGCAGCTGACAGCATGCAGCGACTGCTTGGAAGAGAAATGCTGTAAGCAGAGAGTCTGTCAGACTGAACGGAGCGTCGGGGTCGCATTGTGTGCACGTTTTACTCACTTTGCTACCAAGCGTTCTCTGCTTGAGGGATGATCTCTTTCTCTAGCTAACCCTCTTCTCTTTCCATCCCTCCTGCCTTCTATCTCTGTGAATAACAGCCTTGATAGTGAGTATACATCCTCCAAAGCTTCTGTCTGATCCGTTCCTTCCAGATAAACATCTTTGCCTGATGCATGTGCAGAACATGACGTTAAATATGGGATTTGGGTGAGTTCTAAATAAAGGTTTATTTGTTTTCATCCCAGTTCCAGAAGCTCCCGACCGTCCAACCATATCTATGGCCACTGACAGTTCGGTGTACGTCGCGTGGATCCCGCGAGCCAATGGCGGCTCTCCGATCACAGCGTTCCGTGTGGAGTATAGGCGCGGCCGCAGCACAGAGTGGCACGTGGCGGCGGATAATATCTCACCTCTGAAGCTGTCTGTGGAAATCCGCAACCTGGAGGCTGGTGAGTTTCGATAAGGCCGAGAAATCCAAAGGACTTCTGTGAGATTTTCCTCCTGCATCATCACTGTGGTGCTTAAACATGATCGTTTTCATCCGCCAGGGTCCACCTACAAGTTTAGAGTTCTGGCCTCCAACATGTACGGAGACAGTCTCCCCAGCACTCCATCCAAGCCCTACCAGGTGCCACAGGCCAGCTCACGCAACGCGGACCGGCCGGTGGTCGGACCTCACATCTCAGCGACGGACGCCATCAGTGACACCCAAATCATGCTGCGCTGGACTGTGAGTTGAACAATCCAAACATTTTATTTCAACCCTTATTGAGAATCTGACTGTTGAGTTTATTTAAGCTTTCCCTCTTGTTTATTTAGTGGTTATCCAAGTATGATGGTACATTTGCCAGTTTAAACATTTTGTAACGGTTTGAGAAATGAGGACAGAAACAGAAGAAAAGGATATATTTCTTTTGAAGACGATGAGGAATGGAAATAAACCTGCTTCTCTAGTGTTTAGAGAACTCAAAAGCTCTTCATGCAAGGATGAACAATGTGTTGGACTGTCATAGTGACACCGAAGCAGAGATTCAAAGGTTGTGGGTTTGAATCCCAATCACCTCTGTCCAAACAGGTGTGATAACTTTGAATGGCTTCTCTCTTATTTCTCGGCCTTTGATGCCGTTTAGTTTGTTTTATAAAATGACCAATATTTCAGTCGGTTAAGATTTTTATATAATTAGCCAAAATAATTACAAAAATACATTTTTTGGCCGATTTCTGATCTGAAGTTTTGTTAAGGTTTGACCAATTGATACTGGCGCTGATGTAGGATTAAAATTGTGTATTTTTTAATTCTAAATATAAACTGGTACAGTGAATTGGTTTTGTAGACGCCTACATTTAACCCTTTCTTTAATCTGAAAACTAAAATCTACTTTTAAGATTTTAACCACCGATTCACCAATCAGGTTTTAATTATATCAACAATTTATCTTTTAAAATGTATAATGTGCTCAACTTTTATCCATCCAGTCCCTAGCTCACCTATTTTACCAAATATGGTCATAAGCTGGACAAACAACTGGTGGCGTCACAGTCTCTGTTTTTAAAAGCAGTCCACTTGCTAAAAGTAATATAATGCATCATGGAAGCAAAATATTTAAACAAGGGTTAAGAAAATTACACAGGTGACTGAGTCAGACGCTCACAACCAGTCTCACCTTCACACACACGTCCCTCCTCACACACACACACCCCTGCTGACAATAAAATGAACCAGCAGTGGTTTATGGTTACATAATGAGAAAGCCTTGTGATACTTTGATGGTTCATCTATATAAAAAGGTTCAGAGAGACATCTCCTAAACTGGAGGATATCTTGTGTTTTGCAGCAGCAGTACCTGTCTGAGCTGCTTCCTGTCCATGCTAAGACTCACATCTTTCAATGAGCTGATGATTGCTGATTAAAGGAAACTCCCTTTCTGTTCTGATTCTGCCGTTTGAGCTGCTGATGGATGCAGATAGTTCCCCTCATTTTCTATACTTAACTTTAGCCAGCCTCATTTTTTTCTTCGGGCAGACGGGGCAATCACCATCTGCTGATAACGAGGCCCACCATTAGCCGCGGGGGAAACACGCCCCCTCTTTGGGTTGTAATTGCTCACTGATTTTCTGTGGTCTGACAAAACTGTTTTTTCCTTTCAGTACGACCCTTCCAGCAACAACAACACTCCGATCCAAGGCTTCTACATCTACTACAGACCCACAGATAGCGACAACGACAGCGACTACAAGAAGGAACAGGTGGAAGGTGAGGGAAGCGGTGAGCTTGACGCCTGCTGCAGATTAAGTTCACAAAGTGTTTGTCGACAGCCTCGTCCCAGCGTAGATGTAACCTCACAGCGGGCAGATAAATTGGGCGCTGGAAATGTAACGGATACTAGGAGGAGAGAGAGAGGGAGACATCCCTGCCCCTTTGATTTATAGAGACAGGGTGTCTTCTGAGGTCTGCTTTTGAGAAATGGTGGCACGCTAATGGTACAGAGCGTAACCGGAGCCGGTCCAGAGGAAGGGGCTCAGGTTGCTTCCTGGAATGCTAACAGTTGATCCTGGTGCAGGAAGGGAAGGAGAGGCATCTATTCACTCAACACCACTCTGCAACCTCTGAGCATGTGACCGTCCACGCATTCATGGGTGTGATGGATAAACTCTCTGCCAGAGTGATCTTCAAAACGCCAAAGCGACTGAAAAGGTCAATCAGTGAAGCGTAGGACATAAAGGACTTTTTAAATCATTTTGATCTCTTTGTGCGTTTCCATTAGGGTTGCTCAATTAATTTAGCCTGGGTGCCAGTCCGAACTTAGTCCCGCCCACAAGGTTTGAGTTCGGGGAAGTTCGGTCTGGCTCTGCTCCATAGTAGCGCGAGTATTAAAGCCCACTGTCAGGCGATCCAATCAAATTGTCAGGGCGGGCTTTATACGATAATGGACAGATGATCAAGAGTAACGTTATCAACCACGTGACCAAAGCGCGCTTGGGTGACAACAATAATGGCTGCCGCTGGAGAGTTTGGATGAGTAGATTCTGCTATTAGGTCTGTTCTAGAAGATATCGACAGCAAATTAATTTTAAAAGAGGAACAGAGAAACGCGATCAAGTCTCATCTTCTTATTCTAGGCGTGAAACTGCACGCTTTGATTTTTGTGGACAACAACTATGCCTCGCTTAAGATACGTCACGCACTCCGTTGCCCTTATTGGTTGTAGATCTATCCAATTGAGTACAGAGGCATTTTTTTCCTGGTTCGTTCAAAACACGGCCCATAATCACAGCTCTATGGAGCAGTATCAGACTCATATTCTGACTAGAATTGAGTCGGACTACGTCAGGCTACAATTAATTGCATTTGCAATATAATCGCAATTTCGAAAAACACAATTTTCAAATCGTAGAGCCATTACATTTTAGTCACATTGCATTCAATAAGAATACCGTAAATTCTCTAATATTGGCCTGTATTCCAATAGCGGCCGGGTCTCTAATAATGGCCGGTCTCGCTGTCAGAGGAGGTAAATAATGGCCGGTCTCTAATACAGGCCGGGGCTATAAACGTTTTTTCTGGGCATACCTCAACATTATACTTGTGGTAGTAAGTAACATACAAGTACCACAGCCCTGCGCAGCTGGACGACAGGCCGACTGCTGCCCGTCTGCGCGAGGAAGAGAACAGACACGCAGCAGAACATGAGGAGGAGCGCGAGTGATGAGGAGATTAAAGGGAGAGATGAAGAGGAGGAGGAAACTGAGGAGGAGGATTAAACAGAATTGGAGGATTTTTTTTTTTTTTTTTTACTTCAAACCAAGCGAGACATGGTAACTGTACTTTTTCAATAAATGAACCTAGTGTTTTATAGGTTCAAATAGACACAAAATCTCATTTTTATTCATTCCACTGGTAGTCTGTTTTGCTCAAATAGCAATAGAGGCCTGTCTCTAATACTGGCCTCTATCCAATAAAGGCCTGGACCGCGATGCACTTGAGTGAAATAAAGGCCCGGGCCTATATTAGAGAATTTACGGTATATTTCTAACTCTAACTCACTTATGGTGGGTTTGCTGTCACACAGAAGGGAGGGAGAGTTGCAGCTAGCAGCAGATCCATGCATGATAATAAAAGTAAGAAACTTTTTTTATGCAAAGGTTACAGTAAAGACCTGCAAAAATGGATTTTGGACAAACAAGCTTTGAATGTCATGAAAAATCTGAAACCCTGGAGTCACACCCTGCAGCACAAGCATCTATGTGCTAGTGCTTATTGCAATGGAAAATGGTGATATTTGTTGAAAATAACCGGTTTTATTTAACAGACTTGCTCAGCCCTATTTTCCATCAGTTTGATCTAATGGGCATATTGAACTATTGCATGGGGAAAGCTTAATGGAAACTCCCTGAAAAAATTCGTTAAAGGTTTTATACTCGCTTGAGGTGTTTTTTGCGGAAAAAAAAAGTTGATGCACAAAACAGAAGATGATTTTTTTTCTAATCAGCTCTGACTTAGTCAAGTTTTACCTTTAATGACTGATCAGCTGTTTCTGCTGTTGGCGTATTCCCAGATGTTCCTATTATGCTTATAGACATAACTGGAAGCAACATCATCATTACTAACGTATCAATGTTAGAACAACTTCCCTGATTGCATTGCTTTCATTAAAACTTTCCTCCATTAATGGTGGTCAGTGCTAGATTTCAGCCTTTAATTCCTCTTTTTTACACCCATGCATGACGACATAACGTGATCGACGACAGAGGCCTTTGTGTTCCTTGGTTAAACCCAATGGAAACACAGCAAATTTGCATTTCCTTTTTTTGTACCTTTAATAGTTTGAATTGAAAACCTGCTACTAAAAACAAACTGGAACAATGATTAGTTGCTGAGTTTGAAATCCAGACAGCATGCCAGTTTAGGTCAAGATTATTCACCATGATACATGTCTGTAGTCTCATTCCAACCTTTTTTTAGGCACAAAAAGCAGCGGTCTACCTTCGGATGTTTCACCTCAAAAAACAGCTCGGGTTGTATAATGCAACCCCAAACTCCCTCCATTGTGCCTGTCAGTAGAGAGGACTTTTGCACTCCTCAACTGGTTTGCCCCACACATAACCATCGGAACCAACTAAGTTTATCTTGGAACACGGTTCCAGATATTTATGTCTTTATTTTGCCCGTCTTCAATGAACTGTAATCTTTGTTGTGCATTATCTTTAGAAGGGGCATCATTTTGAGACTGCTGCCATGCAGCCACTAACAGGCTAAACCCCCCCAACCCCTTTTCCTTTGCAGTACGCTTTTATTTCCAACAAACAACCTCTGGATATGATGCTGAGCGAGGCACTCTACTTCTTTAGCCTTTTTTCTGACAGTATACAGTAATTAAGTAGATGTGATTAGATTTTTTGTTTTTCATAAAGAATAAAATGTTTAAGAACATAGTTTTGCACATTGATAGCCATCAAAACAGTGTTTATTCCGGGAATAAAACAGCAGAACTATATTAATCCCATCATTTCTGTTTTTAACAAAACATAAAGCATGCAAGTGAATTCAGTATAACACTGAGAAAATAAAGAAATAAAGAACATGTGTTGATAAAGGCAGCCAACTTCCAGAAGCTTCTTTAGATAACAGCTGCTCTAACCGATGAATATAAAGACTTTTTTTCACACGCATAATTAACAAATCAGAGAAACTTTAAGCATTTCACTTCCTCTCTTGCCGTGATCTCTAATCTCAGGCTGAAGACCTGCCCACACCACGGCTTCTTAGCCAATGAGCCTGCAGCAAAAATCTATTTGCGCTGCAGAAGGAGGGCGCCTATGAAAAGATGCTTTAAAGGAATAGTACACCCAAAACATGATTAGCCTTCATTTTCTACTCACCCCCATGCTGAACAAAACTCTGGAGTACTTTTTTGATATCTCAAATGCATCTGGAGATCTGGGAGGCTTCTTGCTGTCTGCTGACATTCAAATAATGGAGGTCTATGGCGCCCGAGACAGAAAGGTCCATAAAAGTCCACAAAAACGTGTCAATATTCCTCCATACTGCTCGTCCAATGTAATCCAAGTTTCCTGAGTGGGTAGCATCCAGAATTTACTCGAAACGAAGTCATTTAGAACGTTTTAGAGCCTAAACAGTAGTGTATAGGATTTCCTAATAGCGCCCCCATGCGCGCTCACGATTCTACGGAAGCCGGCAGACCAAACCGGCGCATTCAGCTCGGCAAAGAACTCATGCTCTTCCTCAACACTGAAGTCCTCAGACATTTTTCTTTCGTTGTTTCTTTCTTTGCACAGGTAAACAGCACATTTCTTCTTCTACGCTTGCATTATCGGCAGAGCAGACGCTGAATGCGCACTTTCTTCCGGTTTGGTCTGCCGGCTTCCGTAGAATCGTGAGCGCGCATGGGGGCGCTATTAGGAAATCCTATACACTACTGTTTAGGCTCTAAAACGTTCTAAATGACTTCGTTTCGAGTAAATTCTGGATGCTACCCACTCAGGACACTTGGATTACATTGGACGAGCAGTATGGAGGAATATTGAAAGGTTTTTTGTGGACTTTTATGGACCTTTCTGCCTCGGGTGCTATGGACCTCCATTATTTGAATGTCAGCAGACAGCAAGAAGCCTCCCAGATCTCCAGATGCATTTGAGATATCAAAAAAGTACTCCAGAGTGTTGTTCAGCATGGGGGTGAGTAGAAAATGAAGGCTAATCATTTTTTGGGTGTACTATTCCTTTAACTGATGGAGTTGTAGTAATGTGCTGCTCTAGAAGCATTACAAACATGTTTAAGTGATTAATTGAATTAATGAGAAACTAACACAGTTACATAACCTGCTACTCCCAACACTTGTTTTCAGTTGTTTTCAAGGGGAATTAAACTTTATATAGTATATTGACTACTTTAAGATTGTATCAGTCCAGTATTTTATCAGACTAGTTTGCAATATTCTGTTTATGCGTTTGGCAGACGCTTCCATCCAAAGCAAATTTCAGATGAGGATAAAGCAATGCCGTAAATATCAAAGCTTATAATAAGTAACTTAGAAGGAAGATCACTAGCCAGGTTCTGTGACGGCTGACAGAGGAGAGGGTGTAGAGATGGAGAGCAGGCACAGCGGGAGGAGCAGAAAGAGAGGGAGGAGGAACATACAGGGAATGAGCTCTTACTGCAGATTAAGTTTTAGATGACTTAAATACACGGTGCTGGTGGAGGTGAGTTTCCACCAAACTCAAGTGCTTTAATGGATTCACTTGTGATAGAAACCTACATTAGAAATCCAAAGGGATCCATTTATTATTTGAAATGAAGCTGCTTTGTGAAATGTGCTGCGGTTCTGTTTACTCCTTTCATTTATGCTCAAGACTAAACTCTTCAGGATCTAGATTTTAATTTGCAATCACAAACTTTATGCAAAAAATAATAATATTAACAATAAAGATTCTCAATTTTAAAATGATTTAAGATAAAAAAGCCAGTCTAAATGCAGCTAATTCAATGACATAAATATTTACTCCTGTAACTCCCATGTGTTAAACCATAGGTCTAGGCAGCAGGCTTTCAAAGGGTCACTGTTGGCCACTCAGACCATAAACAGCAGCTTATTTCAGCCTCATTTGTTGGAAATGTAGCGTTTCCACATCGGGAGGCTGTTGTCTCCTGTGTGATTCCACAACGCGTCGCGGTGTGACAGTGTGTGGTTGTGCAGCCGTGGGGAATGTACGGAGTGGGAATACTGGAGGCGAGCCAGAGCAAACATGAAGCGGCCATATATGGAGCTGGATCAGAGTGAAACAACTGTCTGGGTCCTGCTTGATCTGAAGCAGTCGGCTGTTGTGGTTAAGAACAGGGACTGAACTGGAGACAAGACAAAGAGCTGCTACACACAGCCAGATGAACAAATTCTGGCTCCTTAAGGGGAAATACACAGGAAGGTATCTGTGGTTCAAATGTTCTCTGCTGTAGTGAGGGTTCCTGTGGGAAATGGTACAGATTTCCAGGTCAGAAATGTGAAAATGAGCATATGGAGAAACATTTGTTTCCAGACGTTATCCCTTATGTTACCATTTAAAACTTGTATTTCCATCCATTCTTCCTTCCGTCAGTGCTTCATTTCCTTTCTTGTCTTTTTTAGCCATTCTTTTTTTTTTGTTGCCTTGTGTCCTCTCTCCTTTTCTTTTCTACTTTTTATTTTTTTATTTTACATTTGTTTCCTTCGTATCCTTCGTATCCTTCCTTCCTTCCTTCCTTCCTTCCTTCCTTCCTTCCTTCCTTCCTTCCTTCCTTCCTTCCTTCCTTCCTTCCTTCCTTCCTTCCTTCCTTCCTTCCTTCCTTCCTTCCTTCCTTCCTTCCTTCCTTCCTTCCTTCCTTCCTTCCTTCCTTCCTTCCAGGTTCTGTATTTAAAGTCTGAATACTATATTCATATCTTGCATAGTTCACAAATTGAGTGCTGCAGCAGTGCTTTAATAGCCTGGGTGCCATTCCGAACTTAGTCCCGCCCACAAGGTTTGAGTTCGGGGAAGTTCGGTCTGGCTCTGCTCCATAGTAGCGCGAGTATTATCGCCCACTGTCAGGCGATCCAATCAAATTGTCAGGGCGGGCTTTATGCGATGATGGACAGATGATCAAGAGAACGTAATCAACCACGTGACCAAAGCGCGCTTGGGTGACAACAATAATGGCTGCCGCTGGAGAGTTTGGATGAGTAGATTCTGCTATTAGGTCTGTTCTAGAAGATATCGACAGCAAATTAATTTTAAAAGAGGAACAGAGAAACGCGATCAAGTCTCATCTTCTTATTCTAGGCGTGAAACTGCACGCTTTGATTTTTGTGGACAACAACTATGACTCGCTTAACATACGTCACGCACTCCGTTGCTCTTATTGGTTGTAGGTCTATCCAATTGAGTGCAGAGGCATTTTTTTTCCTGGTTCGTTCGAAACACGCCCCATAATCACAGCTCTATGGAGCAGTATCAGACTCATATTCTGACTAGAATTGAGTCGGACTACGTCAGGCTAGTGCTTTAGTGCAAACATTTAAAATTAACTAAAAGGACTGAAAACTGTTTAATGAGAATTTAATTCAATTAATTTGGATATCATTTAGATAACACACATTTCACATGTCATCTCATTGCACTTTACAGAGACAATTCAACCAGATCATACAGCCATATTGTTTCAAGGTTTCCTGTGTGTAACCTTGGCATTCATCATTTTTTAAAATTATTTCAGGTTTGAAAACCTGGCACATGATTGGCCACCTGCAGCCAGAGACCTCCTATGACATCAAAATGCAGTGCTTCAACGGTGGAGGGGAGAGCGACTACAGCAACGTTATGATCTGTGAGACCAAAGGTAAGGACAGCCAGAGCTCTCACCCTGCTGATCTATGATCTGCTTTAGTTACGGTACACGGCGTTCCTCCTCCTCCTCCTCTCTTCTTCACTGCAGCTCGTCAGTCTCCAGGTGCACCAAGTCAGCACCCCTTCACCCCTCCCGGTCCTCACCCTCCAGATCCCCCAATCTCCCCCGGAGGTCTGCTGTATCGAATCGTGGGCTGCGTGCTGGGAGTGATGGTGCTCATCCTCCTCTCCTTTATCGCCATGTGTCTGTGGAGAAATCGGCAGCAGAACAACATGCACAGTGAGAAAAATATCTACCACTAAGCTGTGTCCAAACAAAAAAAAATAAAAAGCTCTCAAAAAAAGCTTTTAATAATAGTTGGCTCCACGGCGGTTTATGAGTCATATTCCCAGTCTTCACTCCAGTGCATGTAAGGATCCCGAGGTGCTTACAAACGTCTTGGCTTGTAGTTCGCTAAACTCGCCCCTTCACCCTTTGGAAGGGGAAATATTAAAACTTTGGAGGAAATTTGAAAAAGAGTCAAAGCTCCACTTTCTGTAGCCTGTTCCCCATCATCGTTGTGACTGTTTGTAGTTATTTACTGGAAAACACAAATGTTGGGTCGTCACTGTGATGAGACACCAACATTAAAGAACACATTTAGCCACAACACAGTGCGACATTTTCTCCTGTAACTTTGATCTTAAAATAATTAGAAGTTTAGATTTTTTTAGCTGTGAAGAAATGACTTTTTTTTTTTAAACCCAACCTTGCAGAGTATGACCCCCCCGGTTACCTGTACCAGCCGGCGGACCTGAACGGCCATGTTCTGGAGTACACCACGCTGACGGCGGGCGGTGGGCACATGAACGGGGGCGTCCATGGGGGCTACAGCGGCCAGATGTTACCTCAGGGCTGCCATCACCTTCACCACAAGCTCCCCAACGGCATGGGGCTGCTGAACGGCTCCGGCGGCTTCATCTCACCCGGCCACCCACACGGCCACGAAGGCTCGCTGCCCCACAGCACCCATGACTGCGACCACCCGCACCCCCACCACCACCTGAACGTGAGTCCTCTGCTTCAAAGCTTAACTGAAACATTCACACTTTGTTTTTGTTGTTTGAATAGATTAATTTTCCTTTTTTTTTTGTCTTAAAAGGGTGGAAGCATGTATACAAGTCTGCCTCAGAAAGAGACGTCTGATTGTATGAGCTGCCAGAACATCTGCAACAACAACAGGTGGGAAAAGATCAAACATGTTGATGTTATTGAAGTTTTATCTCTAAAAACATCCAGGTTGAATATATTGCCCTGTGGCCTTCCATTTTATAACACTACTTAATGACTTCTATTACGCCGTTGACTTATTATTTATCTTTGGCCCGATGTCGACATGTTCACGTTTATGATCACGGTTTCCTACTAAAGCGCAAAACAATCAGCTGTTTCACCGTGTCTTCTGTCCCAGATCCTCCCAACACATTCCCACAATCAAATAAGCTCAGTAATAGTTAGTCTAATGATAAAAGAGGAGTTCTGTGGGATAAATATGTTCACCTAAAAATGTTTCGTAAATTAATTTTAAGAAGGGTTCATTAAGATGACCCTGTTATATAAAGTGTATCAAAGTCCAGTTAAATTGGTTATCGGTCGTGATATTGGCTCCTATCAGAGAGCAGGTATAAACACTCTGCAGGTTATCTGCAGCTGCAGCTGTTGGAGCAAACAGGACAAGTTCTCTGTGAGAGGTATTGGTGTAGAAATAAAAAATGTTAAACTTTTATTTTTTTTTTTTTGTATCCTTTATGGTGTAACACCGTCTCTCGCTTTTTTTGCCAAAACTCTTTTGTATTCAGGTTCTTGCGCATCCGTGTCACTGATTATTCTCATAACAGATAAATAAATTACTCCTTTTTCACATCATTTTATCTACATCACACAATATTTCTGATATTTTTTATTTTTTATGGTTCAATACAGCCACTGGGTTAACTTTATATTCATCAGGCTACTCATTATCTGCTGTTTCCATGGTTACTGCTTTGATTTCTAAGTTTATATGCGGTGGTCTGGCTGCTGTTTTTTTTACACATGCTCTTTTCTGCGGACCGTATAAAAAAACAGAAAAAACAAACAGAAATAGACCGTCTTCTCTCTCTGAACTTAATGTGTGGCGTCTCCAGCAGCAGCTGCGTTCCTATTGGCCAATCAGTGGATGTTCGCCATAGCAGATGTCATAATGTGGGATCGACATTCTAAACTTCAGACTCTGTCAGATAACCATAGCAAGTTTTCTTTGGTCGCAAAATGCTAAAGAAGCAGACGTCTCAATCTGCCTCATAAGACCACAGATTTAGAGCCGCGGCCAAAAATTCCTCCACGTTATTCATGGAGCCTTTTGTCTGTGACAGCTGATAGTGAGAGTGAATGGGACACACCAACTAAAACTTATGAAACATTTCCAACATTAAATCATAAGCTTACAGTTCTTTGTTCAATTTGGGTAAAAAATAGGTGTTAAATAAATGCATGGAAAAGTTAATTATGAATATAAAAAAATCACAGCAGGGAGGTCAGGAAGTCAGATAGTTTTGCAGTTCAGAGGATGGATTGAACAGATCTATCAAGATTTGACGATACTCTTATGTAGACAAGATGGGCAAAGGGGGGAGCACACCTTTTTAACTCCAGAATATCTGCCCGGGTCATCAGCTCACATAGGAGATGGCAACATGTTGTCTACCTTCTCAACAAATCTGGCCTTTATTTGAGTGCATCAAGAATAATGACATGATTAATAAGTTCCAAAGAAGCCATCTGCGTTTGGTGGAAGGCCAACACCCTGAACGCACCACACTCACTTTGAATCCTGGAAGGAAACCTTTTAAAAGTTAAAAACGGTTTGAGACGGAAGGGGAAGTTTTTATCTTCCAACAAAACGAGCCTAAACTTACCGTATGAGTTTGATTGACTCAGTCAAATCCCTGCATCTAAGAAGCTGCTGCAAGACCCACGAAAAATCATCTTCACAGAGGCTCTCCATCCATTCTGACTTGCTGGAAATGTTAGTCTCCTTCCTGAAAAAGCTGCAGCTGTAACTTAGTGAAAGGTGATTTAACAAAATATGGCTACAGGATGATTTTTCAGATATTAATTGTAAATATATATAAGAAAGTGTAACCTTTCCGTTCCTTTTCACTTCACAATTATACACAACTTCTATTTAGACTAACATTAAATCTCGATAAATTTCGCTGAGGTTTGTTATTTTAATGGAAGGAAATCTGAAAAGGTCTAAAGGATGCAAAATAATGGATCTTTCAAAGCAAACTGCGCTGAAAATATTAAACATTCCTCACATTTTATAAGATGCAGCTGACAGCCAGTGCTTCTGAGGCCCAAACAGTCTCACACACACATGCATAGATGCAGCTTTGGCCTCCAGCTTGTCTTGTTTATGTATTTAAGGGTCCCCAGCATCACAGTTTACTCTGTGTGCATCCAGCCAGCAGACCTAATGAGCTCTGTGTTTATTTACCTCTGGCTGCAGAGGAAGGGGGGGACTGGGAGGGGTTGTCACAATCCCGTCATCTATTGATGGAGCGAACTTGAGTTTGGGGAAACTTGGGACACTTTGCTGCAGGCAGCATTCAGCCTAAAACCACAACATGTCACTGTTACATCAGAGCTCTTTTGGAGCAGTTTCTGCAGCTGTGTCGGAGTTCTGGGCTTGTTTTATAGTCTTTCTGTTCACATAGAGGTTTATTCTCATTCGCCGTCTTGTTAATCTGCATTCGCATCTCTTCCTCTGTCTGCCCAGATGCTACAATAAGACCAACGGCACTCTGACTTTAATGCACCGCGTGGCACCTTGCCAGCAGGACGGCCTGGAGATGGTTCCTTTGGGCCAGGTTTCTCCACAGTACCACGGCTCGGACCCAGAGGCCGATGCAGGCTTCCAAACGCCTGATGGGAACAGGGAGTCCTCGCCCTCCAAGCATTCCTGTTGCCTGATCGGGAGAAATGAAAACTGTCAAGGGGATAGCACAGGTGACTGAGCCACTTTTTATCCATCTATTTTCAATCACGCTTATCCCTGCTGGGGTTGTGAGGGGTGCTGGTGCCTATCTCCAGCTGTCAGTGGTCGAGGCGGGGTACACTCTGGACAGGTCGCCAGTCCATCGCAGGGCAACACAGAGACCAACAGGACAAATAACCATTCACGCACACCAAAGGAGAATTTAGAGAAGGCAATTAACCTAACAGTCATGTTTTTGGACTGTGGGAAAAAGCCGGAGTACCCGGAGAGAACCCACGCATGCACAGGGAGAACATGCAAACTCCATGCAGAAAGACCCCTGGCAGGGAATCTAACCCAGAACCTTCTTGCGGCAAGGCAGCAGGTGAAAAAAAAAAAAGTAGAAAACTACCGTATTTTCACAACCATAAGCAGTCTCAGTTATGTGTGCCATTACTGTATTTTACACACACATAAGGCGCACCGGATTATAGGGCGCATTTTTTATATACCGGTACATGTCCTCTGCTACGTTTAAATACCTCTACTGCGTATTTAAAAATAGAGCGGGATCAAAACTTAGTATGATTGTGATTTATTCATGTATTTATTACAATGTATTAATTAAACCCATCAAAGTCATCATCCTCCGTTTCTGAATTAAACAGCTGCACTAAATCAGACATGCCAATTTCCCCTTCTTCGCTGTCAGAGTCACTTTCCGTGCCGGGCAGCTCCTCGGAAATGATGCCAGCTTTTGCGAAAGCTTGAACAACAGTGCCAGCAGACTGTTTAGTCCAAGCATCAACAATCCATCCGCAAACGGTGGCGTAACTTGCCCGGCGCTGCCTTCCACTTTTCGTGAAACTGTGGTCTCCGTCTGTCATCCATCGCTCCCACGCCGCTCGCAGCCTTACTTTGAACGGGCGGTTCACACCGATGTCGAGCGGTTGAAGTTCCTTTGTCAGACCTCCCGGAATAACAGCAAGCACAGCTTTCATTTGTTTCAACTTGTTTTTCACATCGGCTGTGAGATGGGCACGCATGGAGTCACAGATTAACAGCGATGGTGATGCGTGGAAAAAACCACCTGGTCTCCTCACATACACCTGCCTCAGCCACTCTTTCATCATCTCCTCATCATCCAGCCCTTTTCATTAATAATGACTTCCACACTTCCCCCCTTAACGTTCTCATGGTGGTCTCAAACGTCCGCAGTAACAACACACATAGGGCGCGCCGCACTATAGGGCGCGCCGCACATTTTGAGGGTAAAAAAAGACATTTATATGCGCCTTATTGTCGTTTATTTCCTTTAGTATCATAAGTATTACCTTGGTGGTTTTTTTTTTTTTTTTTTTACAGTCCCTCACATCATATTTATGCTTGTTGCGGAGAAATCTGTGGAGTTTTCTTAAAAATTGCAAAACCATCTAATCTTATTTTTTCTCCATCTTCTTAGCAGCTGAGGAGGAGCCAGAGGACAGCGTGGAGATGGAGGACTGCGTGTTGTCTTGGGACGGGCTCGGCCTGCCAGACTTGGACTGCGACGAGAAGCCTGGTTGGATCACCAGCGGCGGCCTGGTTGGAGAGCTGATCCAGGCTGGGCCGCAGGAGACCTGAAGAACGGAGGGAAGCTGTGGAGGACAGTCAGAGACACTGCATGTTACGCTGAAAAAGACTCAGAACTGTTGGACTGAGATGCCATGAGAGACATTACGGGATGAAAAGACTCGGAAAGAAACAAAAAGACTCGTCATCCCACTGGAGGGAAAACTCATCAAACTCTTTAGATGACTTATTTATTTTTTGTAGTAGTAAAATATTATTTCATATGAATGTATCTGTTTAAAAGAAAAAAGTTTGCCTTTTATATTATTTATGCCTTTTGGATGAGAAATACTTTTTACGGTATTTTTGTTGTTGTCGTGTCCCTTTGTGTCCCACTCCAGTGCTGAGATTAGCGACTTTCTGTGTAAAGTTTTGTAATAATATAAAAAGAAGATATGGGAGACATATTGCAGTCCTCTCAGAATGTCTTTCTTTTCCCCTCCATCGTGTTCAGCACACCCTGAACTTCCGGGCCTCGGTCCAAACCCATCCATATTTCTGGCAGGCCTTTGATGTGGCTCGGCGATGGGCCGTTCCGCTGTGGTGACCCCTGAACGTCGGGAACACTCCCCGCACTGTTCAGATCAGGCAGGCTGCGCCGTGCTTCATTGGATACTCGATAGTTCATCACTTTCCAGAAAAGAAAAAAAGAAACTGGTTGCTTTGAGAGCAGCTTTGACCTTTTTGGCCCCAATCTGTTGGAGAAGTGAAGCAGTCAGTTGCATTAACACCGAACTCCAATGTCTGAGCTGCCCTCTAATACTAATCGGTGGATCCTACAGGAGGTTAAATGGGATCACACCAAAAACCTGCAAAAAACAGATTTGCAACAAAACAAATAATGTTAATCTTTAAATGAACTGATTTAGGTCCTTAAATTATTGCATGTATTGATTTCCAGTTATTATATTGGGCAGTAAGAACATATGTTGTTAATCCAAAGACCTAGAGATGAACTAAAAACATCATTTGAAGGCTTTTATTGCAAAAATGATTTTAATTTCATAAAGTACAATCAGTAAAGTCTGAGTTTATCATCAAGTTTAAAAAGAACGGCCGTCCCTATAGTGTCTCCTTTTATTTAAGAAAATTATGTAATCAAAGGCACCATTTTATATTTGGATAGTTGCCCAGGGCAACAGGAGAAGGGTGTATATACAATCCCCAGATAAAAAGATATCTGTGCACATCGGTTATGACTTGACTAAAATTTCTATTACTCTTGATCCACAGTCGGTACCTACCCAGCATCAGGGATATCATAATAATGGAATACTTCTGTTAGGTAATATCCACACTAGTTAGATTTAATAGAGTAAATCTTTACACCAAACACACTTTCAGGAGTAGTTTTGTACTTTTTGCTTTTACTCGACTAATATTATTAGAAAGGACTGTTAATCTTTAGTGAAATTTCTTGCTACCCTACGCGAGTAACTTCATTGAAAAAAAAATAATCAGGCCTTTTTGGCTCAAAATACACACTAGACATACTTTCATAAAATTTTATCGATACGATTTCTTGTTTTTACACAAGCTTTGTTTTATAGGTTTTTTTTTTTAATCTGCTAAACTCATTGAGGCCATTTCTAGGTCAACTTGGTCAAAAGGATTAGTTCATGCCACCAAATCAACAGAAGTGTTATTTACTTCCATGGCTGCAGGTGGATAAAGTTTGGTTTAGAGAAACTTGACTAATCTGCACAGAATCCCGACCTCATAACACCGTTAGGATAAACTACTGTGGAGCATTCAATTCATAACCCCTCCCTGCAAACCTTGATTTTTAAACAATAGCTGCTTTAGCAACAAATTTGCCTCTATAGACCAGAGGATAACAAACATTTTAGCTTCTGACCCACAAAATGATCTCAAAGTTGACTCATGACGCAAACTATTTAAGTTTACAAACATTTCTTCAAAATCAGGGTCTAAAAATTTACCCGACAGCATCAATGACTTCATAACCTAGTTTTGTCCAGTTTTTAGTGATGCCTTCATATCTTTAAGCATTTTAACATCAATGTTTGTTGTTTAGTTTAATTTCTAAAGTGGATCTCAAGACCCCAACTTTAGCAATCAGTGCCATAGATTAGAATAGAATGTCATCAAAAAACATACATTAAAGCCAATAACATTAACTGTTATAAATATATTGGTTCTATACATCTTATGTTGAGCAATTTGTTTAAGTAAAGGCTTTTAAATTTGTTGTATTTTAATAAGCACAACACAGATGTTATTAGTTAATCAGTGCCTGAGTAGCCTGCCTATTCCACACTGTTCAATCTTACATAATTTCATGCTTGACAACATCTTTTAAGTAAAAATATGCTAAAGCAGTGCTACTTTTTACTTCAGTATAATATTTGACTTCACTATCCACCTCTGGTAATATCATAGGATATTTTCCTGGTATCCTGTATAGAAAAGCTCACATAGAGTTGATCTCTAACAGAAGGATAACTGACTTGATATTCTATGATATTTTTATTTCTTCTGACCTTTTCAATTTCCATAAAAATTTAAAGCACTGCATTATCTCATGTTTTATGCACAAGAAAGGGGGGCTTTAAGAGGAAAGGAGAACTGTCCAACTGTTTTAACAAACTAATATGATCGTTACACATTATGAAAGTTGCAAAATTCTTACTAATGTGTTTATTTTGCTTTAAATGTAGTTTAAGTTTAATTGGGAGACCTAGTGGGGTTTTATGTAACATAGATATGAACAGTCAGAGGCTTCACCGAACTAATTTGACTTGGGCGCATGCCTTATAGGACCTCTTTGCCCCAAACATTTCAACAAAACTCTGTGACTGTGTCTGCTTTATAATATTACAGGAAGTCTGACTGCTTGGAAGAAAAATGATAGAGGGAAGACTAAATGGAGCCCATGGTTTCTGCAAACAAAACGCAGAGTGAAGTCAGCTTTATTTAAAAGTTCAAAGCTCTAAGTTAAGAACATTTAAGAATATTTTTTCATGTACATGATAGATTTGAGTCATAGTCGCCAAAGTGCTGAGTCAACGTTCTTGAGAATATGGTTTTATAAAAAGATGATAAATGAGGAGGTCCTGAACTCTGTGATCTAGACCACAAGTTTTTTTTTTTTTTAAGTTTTTTCCTTCTCTGCATTTCCTGTATTGTGCATTTAAAGCACACTGATAACAAAGCCACAATAGTAGAGTAAATATTTGTGTTTTTAAAGATTGATATCTTAACAAACCACCAAAAGTCAAACAAAAGGGTCCTAGATTTATAATATAGAAATGATGACCATCAATATAGACGATATCTGGGAAAATTTTATAAGAAATAAACAATTAGGAAACAACGCTTATGAGAGCATACCTTTTGTTAGTGAAGTGATCTAACCCCTTTAAAGGAACACAAACTGGAGGTTGAGTAGATTGGCCAACAGCTTTTCCTAACATGATAAATCAGGCTTTCTGATTAGTTGCTGATTCATGAAGCATATTTCCTAACCCTGATCTATTTGTTTGCTTAGAGTAATCTCCCTGCCATGCTGGCTGATTGCAGCTGATCGGGACTGCAGGGGGCGGATGCGAGGCCTCGCTGTGCTTCACTGAGGGTGACTGCGGTGCAGGCTTTCCAAACGCTCGGTGCCTGTCTGCCCAGGTTCTCTGCCAGATTCGGCTGTCGCTCCTCAGGCCCCGGCTTGCCTGGCATCCTCTCCTCTCTCATGGTGCATACGGTATACAGGTGCTGGTCATAAAATTAGAATATCATGAAAAAGTAGATTGATTTCAGTAATTCCATTTAAAAAGTGAAACTTGTATATTATATTCATACATTACATACAAACTCATATATTTCAGATGTTTATTTTGTTTAATTTTGATGATTACAAATGACAACAAATGAAAATCTCAAATTCATCATATCAGAAAATTAGAATATTGTGAAAAGGTTCAAAATTGATGGCCCCTGGTGCCACACTCTAATCAGCTAATTAACTCAAACCACCTGCAAAAGCCTTTAAATGGTCTTTCAGTCTAGTTCTATAGGCTACACAATCATGGGGAAGACTGCTGACTTGACAGTTGTCCAAAAGACGACCATCGACACCTTGCACAAGGAGGGCAAGACACAAAAGGTCATCGCTAAAGAGGCTGGCTGTTCACAGAGCTCAGTGTCCAAGCACATTAATAGAGAGGCGAAGGGAAGGAAAAGATGTGGTCGAAAAAAGTGTACAAGCAAGAGAGATAACCGCACCCTGGAGAGGATTGTGAAACAAAACCCATTCAAAAATGTGGGGGAGATTCACAAAGAGTGGACTGCAGCTGGAGTGAGTGCTTCAAGAACCACCACACACAGACGTATGAAAGACATGGGTTTCTGCTGTCGCATTCCTTGTGTCAAGCCACTCTTGAACCACAGACAGCGTCAGAAGCGTCTTGCCTGGGCTAAAGAGAAACAGGACTGGACTGCTGGTGAGTGGTCCAAAGTCATGTTCTCTGATGAAAGTAAATTTTGCATTTCCTTTGGAAATCAAGGTCCCAGAGTCTGGAGGAAAAGAAGAGAGGCACTTCATCCACGTTGCTTGAAGTCCAGTGTAAAGTTTCCACAGTCAGTGATGGTTTGGGGTGCCATGTCATCTGCTGGTGTTGGTCCATTGTGTTTTCTGAGGTCCAGGGTCAACGCAGCCACATACCAGGAAGTTTTAGAGCACTTCATGCTTCCTGCAGCTGACCAACTTTTTGGAGATGCAGATTTCATTTTCCAACAGGACTTGGCACCTGCACACAGTGCCAAAGCTACCAGTACCTGGTTGAAGGACCATGGTATCCCTGTTCTTAATTGGCCAGCAAACTCTCCTGACCTTAACCCCATAGAAAATCTATGGGGTATTGTGAAGAAGAAGATGCAATACACCAGACCCAACAATTCAGAAGAGCTAAAAGCCACTATTAGAGCAACCTGGGCTATCATAACACCTGAGCAGTGCCACAGACTGATCGACTCCATGCCACGCCGCATTGCTGCAGTAATACAGGCCAAAGGAGGCCCAACTAAATACTGAGTGCTGTACATGCTCATACTTTTCATGTTCATACTTTTCAGTTGGCCAACATTTCTATAAATCCTTTGTTTTTATTGGTCTTCAGTAATATTCTAATTTTCTGATATGATGAATTTGAGATTT